GGTTGAACGTTTGTTGTTGGATTGCGAGGCTACTCTTCACTTAACGGAAGAATAGTGCAGAAAACAACAATGCCGAGGATACCGAGGTAGCCGTGAAGATCATGCTTCGTGTACGTTTTCCCGACATATGTAGCATATATGACGCGCATTCGTGTTTTTTCCATTTTTGTTTTCGGATGCTGACGTCATCATCGGAGACGAAGCCTGAATCCCCGAATCTGCAATCGTGGCTTTGGCGGCTTGTTTCGCCAGCGCGTTTCACATTCACATTGGGGACGTCAACCAGTTGGAACCTCACGTACGCTGTCCTCGTTCATCGTTTTTCCTATTTCTATTTCTTTTCCTATTTCCACTATTTCCGGCGGCAAAGGAGTCATGACACTCATGCAGCGAAACATTCTTGTAACATCCTTCAGAGCGCACCTCACCCTCAACAACCTGTCCAACTCAGTCGTTAAGAACTGATTTGAGGCTCCTAGGGAGGAGCCTTGGTCACTAGGTCGACCGCTCGGCAAGTCAACCACGGTCAAGTGTCGTGTTTCACTGCCCACCTACTGTCCCCTTCGTTTTCGTCGACATTCGTGTCCATTCTCGCGTATCTCCTATCTCCTATACAGATCCATTACAACCAAATCGGAGTCCTCTGCTGTGAGAACCTCGTGTGTCCACTGCTTGCAAAAGGGATGTCTTCGCATCTTCCATCGCAGTCATCAGGTTTTATAAATAACAACAACGGCGACTCGAAGACACCCAGCGACGTCTCAAGGTACCACTTCACACCGACGACTTAATTGAAGGTTGGGAGATGGATGTCACTTTCATACTTACCACTAGAACAGAAATAGGCAGGCAGTTCGGAAACTTCCTGGACGAATACGCGAGCTCAATGTAGCGATCATTGGTTGTAGGAGCGCTCAATTAATGCAGAGTTATGTTGAAGCTCTTCGAGGACTGTCGAATCGGGGCGCGTCCTTAAATGGGTTTAAACCAACGTGAGCGCCAGTTCTTTCTACGATATTTTCGCGTACCTACTTACAACCCATTAACAGTGAGTATCGTCCATTTTCTTTTCAAACTTCCTTAGTTGGCTTTTGCGGCCTATTTCAAATGCGATACCNCAATTCATACTTCCTTCGCAGGTTTTTTCTTCTTATCTTGCTTGATCAGTTGGTTTTTTTTTGATACTCATTCACGTGGGGTATGCAAGTTGCCTACTTTCTTATTTTTTATTTTTCGTGGATTCTCAGTCTCCTACTTTAGAGCAGTCTAACTTCAACGTCCTATTCCGTGGAGTCCATTCATGATGGACTTCTGGTTTCGGGTAGCATATTTTGTGATTTCCGCTTTTTGGTTTTTGGGTTAGTCTGTGGGATGGGACTAGGAACACGGTAGCTCGGTAACTCCTGCTCCCCACTTTCCTAATATTCAGACTTCATAGTCCTAGGACGGAGATATTTAGGTGAAGGAGGGAGGGGTAAGTCTGGAGGCTTTTCCAACCGATAAGTTGGCGATATTCACCATCTGGCAACGACCTCAGCTTGCGCAAAAACGTCGTACCCTCCTATGTTGATTACAGGCCGATTTGCACAACATGCTTGGACAAACGTCGGCAGGGAGCTTTCCGTCACAGGCGACACTGATCTACTCGATTTTAGTGGCATAATCGCAACACCACGGTCCTGCTGGTTCCCGCAGTCCCTGGCACGCTGATCCCGGCTCTTCCTCGTTGCTGCTATTTTTAATGACGTGAAAATTATTCTATTGTGTGCATTCTACCGGCTATGGGGTGACCAGGAACCAAACTGATAGTGCTGTTGCGTTTGTTGCTGTTGCAATAAATGCGACGAATGAGATTCGAGACACGAATGAAAATGCCACAAATGGTGTAAATTAAGGCTCCAAGCACATCAGAATATTAAGTGACATGGCTGTTCTTCTAAAGTATTTCTAAGCCACAGGGTATTGTAAAAATTTTTGCGAGTTTTACGGAGAACGCACAGAAGGCCACCAAACAATACAGAGTATCAAGATCAATCCTAAGCAAACGCGGTATGGTTAGAAAGATCAGTGCTTCCGTAGAGACTGTTGAAACAGTTCGTCCCCGAGTCGACCTCAAACTACGGTTTTGTCTTCACCCAAGAAATGGCAACGAGCTGGACTAGTCAGTTATTTCTTATGCGACTAGACAGCACAGCGTAGAAAATGCAGAATGTTGCTTACCAACTTCGATGGAGACAGCCGTCCTACAACATGCGAGAAGTGCCACAACAAACTCCGAGCCTTGCTCATGAATAAGATTTGAAATTTTGATTACTGTTAGTTATTGCTCACAGATTCTTATCGGCTCACGCTAATGCAGCGTTACGTTGATTAGTTGTTTCGTTTGTGTTTCGTTTGAATTTATCTGACCTTGTCTTTGTATTTCTGCGTTGATGCACTTGGTTTTTCTACTTTTATGCTTTTCAGTCGTTCTTGATTCGTTCTGATTATTGGTAGGTTAGCATCGCTATGGTCGGAAGAAGCGGATGGGTAATCTCTTGGATCTTAACTGGCTGGCTCAGACCTGGATAAGTTGTCTGTGGTGGATCTTATTAATACTTTTGCTTCGTCTGTGAAGATGCCCAAGGAGCTCACATAATCCACTGGAGGTGAAACATGCGCTCAGAGTGATGTCATTCATGGTCTAGAAGAGGTACCTAACAACATTCGCTTTTCCGACTGCTAGAAGAAATTCGAATGGAAGGTATGTGTTACTCTCGATGCACTCAAGGTTTAATGCCGCTTATCAGAGGCCTATGGGATGAGTAAAACTCTAAACAGTTCTGTACAGAAATCTTTATTATCGCATCAATAATAAATATATACGTAGAACTTTGTCATGAATGATTTTGTAAATAATTGAGCATCTTTACCATTTAAGTAGTGAAATATGACGCCACTGGCACTAGAGTTTTCGCAAATGGTACATTAAAGCTTCAGCAGAAACAGAGAAACCCCATTTGACCAACCTGATGATTAGGCTATTTTCATTTAGGAGCGTTAATAAAATGAAAGAATCTAAAAGTAATTTTCTGTCAGCCAACGCAAGTATATGATCTGATTCAGCAAGCCGTTCCATGCAAAACTGACAAAAAAATTGGCCAGACAAGTGATGGTGAGCAGTGGTTCGGATGGGAAGCTTTACTCGCAGTGAGGCTCACGAAAAGATCTCTTGCACGTCGCAGGGCTGTAAGGAGATCTTCGAAAAATATATTTCGTTTTTTCTGAGCCTTTCCGGTGTTAGACCAAAGGGGAAATGAGAAAAACATCTCGATCCCTTAGGTCAACGTTCATTACATGTGGAGTTTGCTTCCACAAGAGCTTGACGAAAACCATTTCAGCATGAACGACTCCCATTCCCAGAACTAGAGCATTCTCTCCACTTTCTTCGGCATGCCTAGGGACGCTCAGAAAAAGGAAGCTAACTTCTAAGTTATCTATGTGAACTATGCAACCCATCTACATCCATTTCAAGGACATTTTCTACAAGTTGAAGATTTTTGCCAGAAAAAAATAAACTTCGAGGTTGGCCAAAAATGGGTTCTCTGTCGGTTCAGCTTCAAATTGCGGTTAAATCAAATTGATCATTGAAAGACCATTTCACTAACTTTGTGATACTGACACTGGAATGCCAGAAAAACATTTGGAATTTGACGCTGACAAGTTCCGCAATCATCACATGTGAGATATACACATGGTTTCAATATCAAATAAAATAATTTTGAAAATATCCTATATGGAGTAATCAATTGGCACAACAACAATAACAAGTGCTACAGGTTGAGCACGTAAACAGCAATCGAGAATCAATGAAATCTCTGATAATTCAATCGATTGCTTGAAATCACAGTAAAATATCGATTGGTTTCAAATCACAGAAATGGCCAATATCAACGGGATGCGTATCAAATGCACATTCGAAAAAAATGGGCCCATAAAGTGAGGGTAAAGGCAGGATGGATGAAGAAAGACAACACAGAAATAGGTGAAATCAGTAATTACAAGTGAAGCAAAGGGAGTGTAACGAGAAAAGTGAACAATNAATTAGGTAAATTCACTATGGGACATATCATGTACTTGAACTATTTGGCCTGTAAACTGTGTAAGCATTCGAGCAGCGTTCTAAGAAGATGATAAGGGGGACATTAGAACGTACAAGGGTCTTCTGCAGTGGAACATCTACATATATTCCGGTATTTACTTTTCCTCACTTGAAAAAGAGGACCGGAGGGGTCTACTTATCAAAAACGACAGCACAGGGCACTTGCTTATGGTTAGGTGCTAGAAGGGGCGTGCCTACGTAGGAAAAAAGTTCGCAGCTTCCTCTTACTTTTTTCATTTAGGTAATCATCTACTACAGATTTTTTTGGTAAGGCATAGCGGAAGCCTCTCCTGAATCCTAGAGCTCGAAGTCTCTCCACGTACTTATAATCATTTGGTTGTATCGGATTGCAAGTGCAGTCACCATGACCACCTAGCAAGCTTCCTTCGCTGTTTGAGGTTGAGGAGAAGTTTGCTGTTCCACTTCTATACTCGGCGAGCGGGAAAGCATTTCAGAGCCTCGGGATTTGGGATATGGTTACTTTCCAACTGTTACAAAATTACCAAGGATGAGAGATAACTACTTTTGAACGAGCCTGCATATACCACCATGGCATCACAGACATGTAAAGGGCATGACGATATTCGGCAGCTATCCAATTTGTTGAAGACCAGCCGAGTACGGAAGCAGTCAATGGAAAATTAACCCCATGAGTAGATAGTTGACCGCAAGGACAAGGAGTGATTTAGGAAGACAATCTTCAAGAGTGAAGAACTTACTGAATTAGTCCTTATACTGAAACCCTATGAGATAGCGCTGCACTGATCCATCAATAAGCTCGGTGTTGGAACTCTGAGAGCAGAGATGCAGGGATAATCAGCAGTTAGCTCAACACGACTTTTGCTGAATACAATTGTTTTCAGAGCATGTTCACTCCAGACAGCCACGAAAGTGCAAAGTCGAGGACATAAAGAGCTGTGTTGATGAAGCAGAGTATCTGAAATGCTTTTCGGAATGGTACAGTTTATCGCGCTCAATAAGTGATTCGGACAGTCAGGTTTCTCATTCTGACCAAAGAAAGAATCAGCTTGCCGGAAGCTATCTAAAGATTGAATCTAACATACCGTAGCTATGATCCATTCGGCTCGATGACAGACTAGATTTATTCGAGGTCCATTGGGTGGATAGCAGGCCGCGTAGTACGCTTCAAGACATGAAGCGAGCAGATAGGCCAAAATCGCTATCAAAGTCACATGGGCATCCTGAAAGCCATCAACAAACGAGTTCTCCTAACCAGCTATATCTCTACTAACTAATCTGATAACTGACCACTTTTCTCCACATGTGAACCGAATTTGCAAGGAAACTCGTCATTAGCAAAACAGCTGTGAAAATCGCCCACGTTGAGACAATGCCAACAACGGCACCTGGAAATGATGAGCCAGATGAGGTCCAGTTTTCTTAACTTCTGCAAACACATTTACCATTTCCTCTTGGGTCACCCCGTTTTCAAGTGTTGTCACTTCCATTTTTTGTCTTGAACTTATTTTTGAAATATGCTTAAAAAGTGGCTCTATTTAATTTTGCAACTGATCTCTTACACCAGATGCAAAATCGCCTGTAATGCAGTTGTGTCTGAACGGAAAGATAACCCTTGCAAAATCGCTCGTTTCCAAAAATTTTTGAATCTTCCAATGTAGTCTGTGAGTTACACCTTCATGAGTTAAGTAACTTGTGGGCAGCTTGGAGGAAGACTAGCCCATGATAAGGCGGGAACGGGGCTCGAATATGTTTGCGAATGACTGAACGACATATGTCGCGGACGCAACCGTGACCTCGGACAGATTTGAAAAGCCTTTTTCCGCTGTTGAATTTGTGTTGCAAGTACCTATACTGTTAGCTCAGATTTATCACGTGACGACGATGCTCTTGCGTAGAAATGCGTGGGCCCGGGAATCTTAATCGATCGTGAGCTTTGGTTCCGGGTATATAAACCCGCCAATCCATGTCGTCATTCAATCAGTCACTTCCGGTATAAAACTCTCCTTTTTTGCCTCGCTGATCTTGTCATTTTTTACTCGAGTTATAATCCAAATTATGTATTTTGCTTTGATTACCCGCATTTTAGATAAATCTACCAGTCAAGCTGAGTTGTGATCTACATACGATATCACCGGCGTGGCAAAATACCTAAAAGGCGAACAGTTTAGAAGAACCTGAGACAGCAGGATATGGTATATCGGCAGTTCAATCAAGAGCTCAGGTCGAGAATTTAATCTGCTTATTGATTGAACTGTTTATCAAATAAAGTTATGATTGATTGGGTTGGATAATAATAATACAATAATAAGTGAGTAATAAACTCAAACATAATGCTTCAGGTAACGACAACAAAAGCCTCCCAATCAGTCATTAAGTGAAATAACTGAAGTTCAAATCGAGTCACGCTAATATAGAACGACATAGTAACTCAAACTGGAGAGATGAGCGCACAGCTGTCCACGTCAAGGCGACTCCTCACGAGTTTCGGGAACAGTTACTACAAACATTAATCTTGCAAAGAAGAAAGACTAGAGTTCCCACGACGTAAACAGGGAGCATTTGACTCAGCTGGAAGAAATAGTGTAGCGGTCGACTCATGGTTCAAGTATCGGATGTATCTTCTGCGGATCCATAGGATCCATTATTCGGTTTCGTGCCCTACAGTCGTTGAAGGCTATGAGAGGCTGCAAGTAGCCATGACTGCCGGCAGAGGTCTCCAGTGTTTGAAATTTTGTAATGGTGCATGTGCGTCGAGAGAAGTCGGCTGTTGGTACTAGCAACTTCGCGAGACCACTTTCGAGGACACCATACCGTTGTATCGCCACCATCGTGCCCTGTGTCCGGCGCCCTACGCTAAAAGGGGTCTACGTGAAGAATCTTGGTAAAACAAGGGAACTTGTGGAAATGGAAAGTAAAGTAATCGGTCCTGTCATCAAGGGCCTGAATGCCGCGAACGCGACCTCGACTCTATCCAGATGTGAAGAGCCTTTTTCAGTTGTTAAAGTTGCGTTGCAACTACCTATACTTTTAGTTTATATTGATTACGTGTCGGCGATATCCTTTGTAGAAAGTGCGTGGACCCGGGGATCTTCGAATTAGCGCGCAATCGATCGTGAGCTTTGATCCCGGGTATATAAGGCACGAGATCTCTCCTTTTTGCCTTGTTGATCTTGCTATTCTGTACTCAAGTTATAATCCAAATTATGTATTTCGGTTCAACTACCCAAGTTTGAGGCGAAGCTATCAGTCAAACCGTGTTGTGGTCCACATACGATATCACCCGCGTGACACAATAATTAGAAGCCGAGCAGTTTGGAAGATCGTATCACTGAACCTTTTCCCAGGTTCACTCACTTTATCTACGACTTAATGTATCTTAACCCTTCCAGCGATCGATCACTTAGTTGGTAGTGATGACGAGCATGCGGAAGGGCGAGTGGATAAGTCCTTTCCTCGTATCAAGCAGATGGTTTCTCAAAAGTAGCCATGAAGAACTTGGTGATGGAATTTGGGAGGCAAATCTCACTTAATACTGCATGCCTGCATCATGCGAAGACACGAATTATAACGCACATGGAGATTCGATATCCAGGTCGATAGTTCCCGAGGCGAAGCCTTCCATTATCCCGAATTCTGTTATAGGTCCCAGGCTCGTTCGAGAGGATAAAAGCACTGACTCATACATCGGCTGGCTACAACAGTTCATTGCATGTGTCACACATGCATTAAAATCCCGGGTTATGAATGAGATTCGGAAGCTGGGGCGCATCACAAGAACCGAATTGATTGACCCAGAAAAGTTCATTCTGTATTCTTCAACAACAACTTATGTTGGAACCAGTAAAGCCTTGGTCGGGATGAGACCATAGGAATTGTGATAAGAACCTTCCTCCGGTACGAGCAAGGATGCTCCATCGTAGTTGCCGAGCACCATGCGTACGAGCCCAGGTAAACCCTGGCATCTTCAGTTGATCTGCACACTGTATGCTGAGTGCACGAATGGAAGAAAAATACGAATTTCGGTGATTTTGCAGTAACGTTCGACCTCCCATTTTTGCTCAGGAGTATGAAAGTCCATAACTATTCCAATACCTTGCCATTCTGTGTTTGTTCGAATGACGAAGTCGTGAAAACTGGAGCCCCGCATTGGGCCGAGTACCAATCCCAATATGGCAGCAGCAAGAATCTGAAACGAAGGACTGAGTCTTCTACAGAATAACAGTAGCCACACTATTCCAGCATATATACACTATCCCAGGATTGCTTACCAGTTGAGCAGCTTTTACCGCTATTCTTGCAAATAGCGGATATTTTTTGGTGTCCATTTTCTTGTCCGTTCGGAACATAGTTGACGGCGGGTAGGTGGTGTAGGATGGTGCGTAGAAAGGTCGTATCCGTCGTAACGTTGTTGGAACCTTAAGCAGCTCCGAGTAACGAAGTTTAGATGCGGTCAAAAAAAGAAAGGATTAATACAATATTGAATACACTCTGACCTCGTTTGTGTAGGGTCGATGGAACTGGGAGTTGTAATCGTGCGGTGCGCCTCCAAAATCAGTTTCCTTAAACGAGTAAGCATCATATTACTTTGGTAAACTCCCAAACCTTTTGCTGAGGTATTGTGTATGGAAACTCTAATTCTTCGAAAGCTTAAGTGGTTTATCTCCTATACAGCACGAGTAAGGACGAACAAAAAACTGTTAAATAAGGAAAGTCCAGTGCTAAGGGGTGTAGTGCTCCTCAGTAATCCCTCTGGTGTCACTGGAATACCATTACCTTAAAGAATGAGCAGTAGGCAGAGATTCACTATTTTCGGACCCGATAGCTCGCGCAAATCCCTCTCGTCCGCTAATCCTTCCTTAGTGCTGTTATCTTGGTTTTATGCCTCAACGGCGATCGGTTCTCCTTTTCCATAAACTACATACAGTTCCACTGCTAACTCATCGCTCTTGGGAAGTTTCATTCCTACTGGGCCTCTACTTAAACAAGACGATCCTACCCATTGAATCCCCCCTTACTTGGTCAGGTCTCTCCCCCCCCCCCCCCCCCCCCCTTATGTTCTAAGGTAATCATAGAAAAATTTTGACCTGCGAAATGAGGACAAAATTCTAGTAGACATGAGCAATGCCTTCAATCAGAATTCGCTTAGAAGGGTTACGAGTTTCTGGGATAATTCCACCAAAAAATTATGACTGATACCTGATATTGTGATGATCGATATGTATAGGGATCACGAGTTTTCCTATAAGCCGGTGATGGTTTCTTCATGGGACCGGAAACTGCCTAAAGCAGAAAAGAATGACTCCGAGCAAAAAGCAAGGACACTAATCCTTTCAAAGGCTGAAATTCCAAACATACGAATCTGAGCTGTTGACTCACCTTATATTGCCGCTTATCGTACTGATCAGCTGAGAATCCTCGAGGCTTTCGCGATGACGGAACGGTCGTTCGCACGGACAGGGGAACTGGACGGCTTGGTGCTGTCCTGGAAATAGCATCACTGCTAAGCATGCAAGTGTCCTTATCAACACTGAGACCTTTTGAAAATCTCATAAATAAGCTTGAACTTTTTTGGACTGACCGAGACCTTCTTGGAGGTGATGGTTGTGGTTGTGGGTATGGCCTGTACGCCCCTGACGCTCCCGGGTACGGACCGTAAGCACCCGGATAAGCTTGACTTGACTGATAAGCATAATTCCGATAGGCCTGACCATCACCATAGTACGGTGTATAAGTGTAGCCACCGTAGTATGGAAATTGCTGTGTGTCGACATATGCCGTATCTAAATCACTTCAATAGGTCTCAAGACGTCTGATTTGATCCTCAGCCAAGTAAGGAATCAAGTGAAGTTAAGCGCTTACTGTTCGGACGAGGAAGTACACCTACCTATATATGCGTTATGTCCATACGGCTCATGGCTGTAGCCGCCATTGTACACACCAGGCATATAGTATGCGGCGTTGATCGGTTGCGCCGTAAATCCAGAAAAAGGATCCTGAAACAGAGGAGGATCAAATCATGTGCTCCTTAATATGGAAACGCCGATAGCGTTGTAACATCACCAAGGGAGGAATGAAGAGAAAATGAAGAAAGTAACACAAGATTGGCGATTTGTGGGCAAAACTCCGGTCGCGGGTGGGACTCGAATCCGTACTTGTCCTTTCTGGGTACCGTGCTCCTATCCCTTACCCTACCGAGACCCAGCTTGCCCTCGCCTTCTTAATGGCTTATATGCCGCCAGTTGGGCTACGCACGCTAACGCGTACATCACATGCCCACAACCGCTTATCTAAGATTTCTTAAGGGATCAGGAGAAACAGAATCGAGACATTTCACACTCTTCATCGCGCCTACGTGATTTTTCGTAGACACACGCACAAACCGACATACAAACAGACACACAAAATACCGCTTTATATATGAAGAGATCTTTATATTTAATACTTTTTGCTGATGCTTTTCCGAACACAAATTCGACCTGGTATATACAACTTTGACAGACTTTAGCTTCGCGTACTGCGGCGTTAAAACAGCAGTTAACAAAACATCAAGACAAAACGAAGAAAGCACCGTCTAAAGGCATTAATGAAAATAATTCTGAGGAGGTACCCTTCTTAAGTTGAGAAGAGGAAGTGTTGATGTACGGTAGTGCATCAGTGGCGAAGAAAGCGAAAGAATTTGCTACTCTGCGTATAATTAGAGTTTTAAAAGCGGTGGAAGTGGAGGTTGTATGAGGTTACCATGACGGAAATGGTATTCGAACGAGATTTCATTGTTACAACTGCGCAAAGAGCTGTCTACATCAATTCAAAATTATCTTAAACTGCTTTCTACTGTCGCCATGGGTCGTGACAAGTTGTTTGAACTTCCAACTTGGGAATCCCTTGAGATAGTGCAGCCACTGCAACACCGTTGAGACCCGTCCGCTATGGGAGTGGCATCCACACGATACAATGTCTGACCTCTTATTGTGCCCCATCCAGGACGTTTCTCGACCTGACGTCGGAACATATGGTATCACGAGGGACCTCGAATTCATCCTATGGGGAAATCTCAGACACCATCTTCCTCGTGAACTGTGCCTTTAAGCTATCGCCAAATGGTTGAGATGTTTAGACTTTGTATGGGGAAGGTGGTGCAAGCAAGCTTCCATCTCTATGGGGTCCTTTAATCGGCACAGACTCGTCTTGGGAATGAAAAACACTTACTCGTACATCGGCTGGCCGCTGCAGGTATAGGCGACGAACGCGTTCCATAGGCCAACCTCGAGTGGGGTGGGGAGAGGGAGGGAGGATTCTTCAGACGGAATTGATTAATGCCCAGATACTATCCTAACACTATAAATCGTAACAGCATTCCTGGTGTTCGTCTGTTTTATTTCGTCTTTTTTATATAATAGAACAAGAGTATTTCCACAAGGGGTACCCATGTATAAAGCGGCTTAAGGAAATGTAGGTGCTAGCAAAAGAAAATGACCAGATCATTCAGATTATAAGGGGTGCATCTCCAAACACCTTATGGAACGATAAACTCAAATCAACTTCCAGTATAGAATGGAAGATCCGAGGAGGAAGCTATAAAGGCTACCGTTCAGCTTGGTAGGGCCTGCTTTCAATCTGCCACAGTTCAACGATTCTGTCCAGATTTTTCGTCGCTTTATATTCTGATTTTGCAATGAGAAATATCCAAACTGGCAGATCGCTTTCCTTGAGGTAACCGTAAGGAACGAAAAAGCAAAACGTAAAAAATAAATAAGTTAACAGATAAATAAACAAAGTTGATAGTTTTTGCCTGATTGTTGTGAGAATGGAAAAATCTATGCAAGCGATGTTGCTTGACAGATATCCCTTAAACTATACATACGCCAAGCCTTTTAACCTTTTCTGGATGTGAAATTGCTGGAAATTGCTAATAATTGTAAAGTGACGTCACTATTACTTTGGCGTTCAACTCCTCTGATTCTCATATTTTTCAGTACTCGGCAAGGAACCAAGAAACAGGACCTCCAGTAAGAAGCATTTTTCCAATTCCATCAAGGTCCAGGCTAAAATTAGAATTCTCTGCTCACCGCTCTTTGCTCAAGAGCTGACAGAAGCTTTTTGCATATTTGATTTGGGGATATATCGTATAGATCCCCACTATTTTACGTCCCCACGTTCTTGTTTAGCCGACAATTTCCGAATTGGAACGTCGGAGCTTACGACGACAATGTTTGTTCAGCCCCACTACGCTCCAGTTATTTATTCAATACGCAACGTCAACAGAGACAATGAATAGCACGGAACACATTTAAAGCGCTTATGGAGAAGCACTATCTGAAGTACAGAGAATCTTATTCAATGACGTATATGAATGCGTACGTCAACGGCTGGTCCTGTACGGGAAGAAGGTTCTCTGCTTCAACTAGGTTGAGATCATGAACATGGTTATAAAGGATAAAGGATAAAGTTTTCGGCTTGAATCAATCCCGTCTGAGGGATGTGCCCCCGCACTCGACTTCCATTCAGAATCGTAGCGGCGTAATGAGTGCGAATGTGGCCAATATAATGACTTGTGGTGGCCAGCCGATGTACAAGTCAGTGCTTTTATCTTCCCAGACAAGTCTGGTACCAATTCACCGACCCCGGAGGGATGGGAGGCTTGGTTGGCCTAGGCGAGCATCGGTCCGGGATTCGAACCCCTGATCGTGCGTGTGATATAGTGCGCCACTTGCCACTACATCACCTCCGCCCTTGAACTTGGTTAGCTCCAAAGAATGGACGCTAAGCACTAGATGACGCCAGTGTCCGAAGGCTACGTTACCAAAGAATCCAGCGAGACTCGTGATGGAAATATCTGGTTTTGAACTTTACCGGAGTGTGAGGAAGAATGATTAGAGGGACGAATTCATTTTGTGCTTCCTGCTTTCGTGATAAATTTCATTGGAGAGTGTTTCCGACAGAACGAAATAGAGTTAAAGAACGAAGTTTCGAGCGATTTAATGATACCCCTGATTGAGAAGACATGAAGTGAATAAAAACCTAAGAGAAATAATAAAGAAGCTCCAGCTAGGAATCGCATGAAGGACACCCCAACCACTCGGTAAAAGATCTCTTTCTGGAGAAACACCTGCCAATTTATTTGACGGGATGAAGTATAAAGCGGACGGGTTCGTTCCTGCTATCTATCCTGGTAGCTAAAATAGTTACAAATCTGTTCTCGGCGTTTATAAATCCCTTCTTTGATGCGCCCAACATTCGACTCTCATATAGGATCGTAATAGCGTTTTGGTGGATTATGTGGCCTACACAACGACTTCTGGTGGTCAGGTAATGTACTTGAAAGTCATAAATTTGCAACCTCTAAGGCAACCCTGGTCTAATTTATCTAATCTAGAGGAGAGGAAGGCGCCCTTGGCCCGAGTTAGTACTGGTAGAGGATTCTCCAAACCGCAACGTGTACTCCAGGGTATTCTCCAGAGCATGTACGCGTACTTGCCACTATACCACATCCAACTAATTACCAGGATAGATAAAAGAAAATTGCTCTCATCTTTTGCTTCACTATTAAGTATGGAAAAGGAGACGAGGGTGCAGAACTATCGGTTTTCTCATCCCTTTAAGTGGTTAATTTCCATAAAAATGTAGATTTATAG